CCTTCTTTGGTGTTTGAAACCTAAACTCAGCATGTATTTGTGTATTAGGTGTGGAATTATTACAAGGGGGGAAAGTTTTCTTGCATATTCTCTAGGAGGCACTGTCAACTTCTCAAGTGTGAGTAATGGATCGTGAGGATCACAGAAGATGATACATGCAGAGTCTTGGTCGTAAGCCCTGGCACAGGAGATGCTCACTTCATTCCCTCTCCTTCACCCTCCCACCGCACCTCTGCCATTAGGAATTTACACCAAGCATGATAGCCCAATTATCATTTTCTGTTTAAAAGGAAAACGCTATACATATTGCAAATGCAATTACTAGCTCATTCTTCATCTTCTTTTTAAAAACCAGCACTAAATATGATCTTTACCAATGAACTTAGCTCTTTTTTTCAGGGTGTTCGATAGCTTTATACTTAATTCTTCTCGGGTTCCTTTTTCAGTCCTCAAAAATGTGTTTTCCACTTACCATGAACACAGGAATGTTCAACTTCTGCTTAGTTCTGTGGGACCTATATCCAGATCAACGTCTCCTGCAGAGCACCTCTAATGTGCCTCTCAGAAAAGCACACATGCAATCCTGAAAGTGAGAATGAGCCAGAAAGCCTCAGCAACTTCTCCCTGTATTATTCTCTCCCATTACCTCATCGGCTTCCACCTGCTCCCGTTCCTGGCTCACATCCGGATCTCATCTCCAGTACTTGCCCTGCTGAGCTGGTGATGCCACAAATAACTCCCAGCTTCCCATCGTTGGTTCAGTCTACACACACTTACAAGGGCTTACTATGTATTAGGGCTATATTTGGGGTCGAATAAAATACAGCTCCATTGGCCACACACCAAAGCCACAACCTTCCCTTTGTCTACCAGCCCCAGGTCAGCCAAGTCCTCTATGCCGAGCTTAGCACGAGTATCAACTCTGTGGTTCTTTATAATTTCAAAAGTGATTACCATGATGATGTGTGCTGTTTATACTTCAATGTGCTTGGCAAAAAAAAAAAAAAAAAAAATCTAAGCTACAGTTCTGCCGGTGATACCTCTCTGGGTCATAAAATGTTAACAGAGTAACCTTAATTTTATGAGCAGTGAAAGTCGTTAACAGTCATTTTTAAAAGACATTAATCTAACATAACAAAACCAGACTGGACAAGACTATGGTATGGGCTTAAGTCCACTTTGCAGGTGAACTTCTCCAGCGTAGACAAAGATCCTCATGCGTTGTGAATGTGACACAAACTTTACCTTTCTATTACTGTACTGCCTGTAACTCTAACCTCCCTGGAAGACTGCAAAACAGGTTAGGGATGTTAGTTTGAAATTCCTGATTTACGGGGATTGTCCCGGCGCTCTGCTTATCTCTGCTTAAATGAAGTTCATATTAATTTAACAATTCAGATATGAGCACATCCTTAACTTTTCATTAATTCCTCTCTTATCAAAATAAAGCTTTTGGTAGCATTGGTTCTGCATTTAGTTTCTTGTATTTGAGAAGAAAAGAAACAAAATTTCAAAGAAAACAGAATTTAGTGGCTAAAAGATAAGGGAAATTAAAAAGCTCATGGCATGTGAAACTTACCTCAACCTGGCTTTTGGGATCAACTCAAATACTGTGTTTGCTAGGAGAATATCATAGGGCATCTTTAGAATCGTGTTGTAATAAATTCAATATTCAAATTCAGTATTTCAAAATCTTGGATAGTATGTTTTCTGGATTTTTTTAATAATAAATAGATCACCCAAAATAAAAGAAATATAATCTGCTATCATGTGGGCTTACAACTAGAACCAAAAAGCTTCTATTTAGATAGGGTGTTATGGCAAGTGAATCTGATTTGTTTTAAAACCACGGCTCCTTTGGAATCTTTAAAACCTGTTCCCTCCATTCCCTGCGCTGCGTGAAACTCCTTATCCCCGCTTCCTCCCTCCCTCTCAAATCACATTCCTTTTAAGTATGAACTCACTCAACTGTTATCCCTCGAGCAACTTCACACCAAACTATTCTTTAACAATATTTCAATCCAGCCAGAACCAAATTTCAAGAGAAGGAATGTGACTTCAAGCCAGAACCTTGTCTTTTTATAGAACAGAGTAGAATCCACAGCTATTTGACTTGTACTGTACATAGCGTGTAGCCAATGTCATGTGCATGAGAGCTTATTAAGACAATTTGATGATGAAATACCCTCCCTGGGCAAGAAAGCCACAAGGAAATTCCAGAGAAAGGAGCAGGGCCAAATCCTGCAACAAATTTAATTTAGCCTGCCAAATCATAACATGTAATTGATAATAGCGAGCAAAAAAAAAAAAAGGACAGAAGTTAATCCTTAGGCACTGCACTTATGATATTCAGTTATAGCATGGAAAATACATATAATAAAATAGACCAGAAGATTAATGCTTATAAATCTGTTAGCCTTTACAACACCTATTCCACTTAACCTAATACACCTGGTAAGGTAGCAAATAGAGGCCCTTATTCATTATAGTTTAAATTACAAACATAACGTCCTGCAAAATTATGCGTTAACAAAGACAGGTGGCCATTTTAATATTCACAGAGTTAACATACAAGCTACTGCTTCTTTTGACCCTCCAGAAAAGATACCTTGGTTTGGAACAATCACTTATTGACTGCATCCCTAATTAATAACTTCTAAGAAATTACAGGAAACAAGAGAAGTCCCAAAAGAACAAAAGAAGATGGGAGGCTGCCAGATATGGTTCTAAACTTTCCAGTGCGGTAGGAGTTGGATTCCACAAACTCTAGACAAGTACTGTCCAATGGAAATAGTATAGCCACATTTCAAAATACTAAAAGAACCAGGTGAAATTCATTTTAATAGTACATTTTATTTAACTCAGTATATCAAAACTATTATCATCTCTTCATGTAATAAACATAAAAAAATTATTAATGAATTATTTTAAGTATCTTTTGTGTGTTTTCAAAATCTAATGTGTATTTTACATTTATACTACATTGTAATTAGGACAGGCCATATTTCAAGTGCTCTATAGCCACGTGTGGCTCTCGGCTAATATCGGGCTGTGCGGCTACTGACCTATAAGCCACTGACCCCAGCACAATCTGGAACCTGATTGTACCTTGGCAAAGCCTGAGGCAAAAGCCTGTGTACTACCACTCTACTAAAGGAGCAATCCCATGAAGTGGAAAAGAGGCCAGGGCAGAGAAGGAAGGCCACTGAGTTGGCCACTGTGTGGAAACAAGGGCAATTGTTCCACCTCCCACCATCTTCGGAGACGCATCAGCTAGTACGTCTCAGCAGAAGGCAGGATTTATCAACTCACTTCCCTCTCACTTTGACCAAAACTTGCTTCACAGGACATTAACTCCCCCACACTTTCAGGTCACATATAACACGATCCCAATTCAGCATCTCACACCTCCGGGGCTTTGGGGAAAGCCCAGAGCGGCAAGCAAATACCACACAGCAGGGACAGGAAGCAGGGCACTGTTCAGTTGTGCCCACGTGAAGCTAGTTGCCATAGCAGCTGGGGAAAACAAGGGGCCAAGGACCCCAGGGACAGGAGTGTGGTGAGGATGTGAGGTGGTGGGTAAGAAATGTCTGACACAACTGAAAAACTAATGTAGAAATGACTAAGAGTCACCACTGGTGCACCCAGACTGAGTCACATCAAACTACATTTAGGCTATGGCTTGTTTAAGACACCAGATGGGTAGATCATGTTTTGACTTGTCTGGATCTTTATATTGGCCATCTAATTTTCAAGTCTAGTGTGCCTTTAATTCCTTCCTACTAACCAAACTCTGCCCTGGGTACTCCCCAAAGTTAAGATCTGTAACGAAGGAATTTAAAGGCCAGCAGCCTAATAACCAATGTCCTAGGAGCCTTACCCTGACTCTTCTCTGCTCCTAGGTACCAGTTCTCACGACTGGACTCCTGCCTATCCCTTTCCCCTATTTTCTTCCTCCTTCCCAAGGTGCTGGAAATCAGCGTCTGCCAGCTTCCATCTGCCTGAGGCTTGGCCTGTTCTACCTGCCTCCTTCCCTTCGTTGCTTCCTATTTCTTAAATCTCTGTTTCCCAGAGCACTGATCTGCCTAGAAGCCAGATGACCTGCCTTATTGGATCTTCCTGGAAGACCCCCTGGTGTGTCCCTATCACCCTCATCTCTACAAAGGACCCTCCTTCAGCATTGCTGGACTTCCCACGGCACCTGCAGCTTGATCTATCCACCACCTCCACCCTCCCCACCCTGTACGCCTCTACTATTCATTCTACCTTAAAAGGACATCTGTTCTCCAGAGTGCAAAGATCAGTCCTTTGGCCTTTCCCAGCTAGGGCTTTCTCATGGGGCTTCTGCTCACCATCCTGCAATTTGCATACCCCTTCCCCTGGACACACACAACCCTGTGCCAGGGTTCATGGCTTGGTGAGCAGAAACTCCCTTGTGCAAGTTACCACTTGCCCAACTTCACATTTGGCTTCACTTTTGCTGCCTGAAGCACATTTCCCCCAAACGCTTTCGAAAACTTTCTGCTTCTCGTCTCTTCTTAAACATTCTCCCTCAGAGAGGCTCTCTCTCTCTAGCCATCCATTCCAAAGTAGGCCCTTGTTTCCATCTCACGTTACCCCCAAAGCACTTGTCATAATTTATATATTATATATCCATTTGCTTACTTGTCCTCCTCTTCAGACTGTAAGCTCCATTGAAGCTGAAATTACTAATGTGTATCCGGCCCCCTTCATAGAGCCAAAATAAGTATTTGTTGCATGAAAGAATAAACGAATGATCTATTTATCTAGCAAGCAAGCTCCTTATGTTAAAAATCAGGGGAATGGCACAGATCAGGGATCGGGATCACAAAGGAGTCAGACAGGTAACATAATACATGAACCACTGGTTAACAGCACTAAAAAGTGGCACAGTTTGGGGCACCCTACAAAAAGTCCCTACCTCCCAAAGAATTCAAATTCAAATCTCAAGCACACCCTACTGGCCCAACAGAACTCACCCTGGACTAAGTGTTCGCCAGCATTGCTGGACTTCTTTCCAGCTCCCACAGCTTGACGGCCAGCTTGTAGACCAAGAACTCAGGACCTGATGGGTACAGTGCTCTCTTTAATCTCTTATAATAAATAACCTGGTTGGCAAACTAACCTGGAATTTTACTCCCAGGACTGTACATACAGTCTTCCCCCAATTCCTTTCACATCTATCTTCTCCACCTGCACTTTGCTGATTCCCATCCGCCCTTCCTCAAGAGGCTCGTGTGACCATGCCCACCCCTTCCCGTCCTGTGTGATCCCATGATGCCCTGCACTCCTATTCACCTGTTTGACTTCCCCACCAGACTTCAATTAAGGGAAAGGTCTGAGACTAGTGCCCTGCTGTGTCTTTGATGCCTGGCACTGGTGCTTGGCATAAATCAGAATTGAAAACATTTACCAAATAAACGATGATTCTGCCATAGGGATTCCTAGCTGGTTGAACCACACGCCCGTAGAAAGCTAAAGAATGGATCCAGATACAGATGCAGGCTCCACCCTCTTCAATATCTTTTATGAATGACTGCCCCAAACAAGCTCTGCTCTGACATGCGAAGCATGCAAAGCTGGGAAGGAGAGTCCGCGTATTGGGAAATGGCCAAAGGAGAGGAGACAAGAGATGGTGGTTGTAGTGAGCGTGGGTTGAAGCCTCGACTTTGTAAACCAACTTTAAATATTTTCATGAGGCCTGGTGTGCTGGATTTGTGGAAGAGTGTGGGGGAGGAGGTGTGGTTCAAGGTAGGAATGTGCATCTGTTTATTGGATTCACGTGGTGGTGGTTTTACAAGCCCGAGGCTGGAGCGGTTCCAACTGTTTCGCTTTTGCTTTGCCAGAGAGCCTCTAAGAGCCATTTTAAAAGTAGCATTGCTGACAGGATTCTATAAATTAATCTGTGTGTACTTTTCTCACCCAAGGTCTCGATTTATAACAGCCTCAGTTAGAATACAGCCTCCTCTCTTTCCTCATCATATGCATATAAATACAACTTGTTCGTGCTCCTCTTTAAACGTACTATTTACTTATTCTTGAATTTGATACCAGAATTGCTAAATGTCTGCTGAAGTTTAGGAGAGTGGAATTGATATAAATGGGGTCAAGGAACTCACTTACTTTTGGTGTTGGCCAAACTTCTAATGCAGTTTCTAAAATCTACCCAACGGGACCCTTCAAGGCACTGTCATTCCCTAGCGTATTGTCTAATGAATGCCTCCCTCCAGGAATCAAACCTGTTAGTAACTAGCAAAATCCGCCATTAATGCTTGCTCTAGGAAATTATAAAATTTGCGATGCTATATGAATATAGCCTTATTTAATTCTCACAGCAGCCTGCTGAGATATGGGTACTTGTAGCAGGCCATGTAGGCACCCCACATATCCACTACACCCCCGTCGTCAATTCTCCAGAGAAGGGAGGAGGCTGGAAATGGAGTTTACAATCGATCATTCCTACATGATGAAGGGTCTGTAAAAATCCCTCAGGTACTGGGTTTAGAAAGCTTCTTGGCTGGTGAACACATCTACCTGCTGCAAAGGTTGACACACTCCAACTCCACAGAGACAAAAGCTCCTGTACTCAGAATCCTTCCGGGCCTCACCCTGTGTATCTCTTCATCTGGCTGTTCATCAGTGTCCTTTATCATATCCTTCATGTGTAAGTGTAAGTAAGTGTTTCCCTGAGTTCTGTGAGCTGTTGTGGCAAATGACCAGCTCCAGGGAGTGGGCTGTGGGAACCTCTTTTGTAACCACATCACACAGAGGTCGTGGGTAACCCGGGAACTCTTCGCTTGCTATTGGTATTTGAAGTTGTGGGCAGTCTTGTGGGAGGAGCCCTTGATCTATGGGGTCTGCACTAACTCTGGCATGTCAGAATTAAATTGAATTAAACTGTGGACATCCATCTGATGTCACACGGAATTGCTTGCTGTGTGTGTGTGGGGGGGGAAGACCCACATATTCAGCGTCATGTGTATTTTGTGTGTGTGAATAAAGGAAGACTCACAAGAGAGCTTTTCCTATACACACCTAGTGATTTTCACCTACTAAATTCACACACTTGTTTAATCTTCTCCTTTGAGTGTGGGCTAAACTCATTGACTCACTTCTATCACATAGAACACAGCAGAAGTGATGAGATATCACCTCCAAGATAAGGTTAGAAAAGGCTATGGCTTCCATTATGGAGGCTTGTCTCACTTGCTCTCTCATTCTCTCCTGGATCTTGCCATGTGTCACAGACTGAAGTGTGTCTCTGCCGAAGTCCATATGTTAAAGACCTGCCCCCCAGTGTGGTGGTATTTGGAGATGGGGTCTCTAGAGAAGTCATTAAAGCCAAATGATAATACAAGGGCTGGTGTCCTTATAAGAAGAGGAAGAGACATCATATCTCTCTCTCTCTCCGCACATGCACAGAATAAAGACCACATAAGGACACAGTGAGAAGGCACCATCTAAAACCCATAAAGAGAACTTTCAGCAGAAGCTAAAACTGCCAACATCTTAACTTTGGACTTCTAGCCTCCGTAACTGTGAGAAAATAAATGTCTGGCATTTAAGCCACCCAGTGTGTGGTGTTTCGTTACGGCAGCTTGAGTGGACTAATACACCATGTCATGAGGTAGTCCTGTGGACAGTCTCATTTGGCAAGGAACCAAAGCTTTTTGAACCACCACATGAGTGAATTTGGAAGCAGATTTCGTCAAAGCTTCAAATAAGACCACAGTTCTAGCTGACAGTTTGACTGTCACCTTGAGCCAGAAGCACACAGCTAAGCTGCACCCAGATTCCTGACACACAGAGACTGTTTGTTGTCATAAGCTACTAAGATCTGGTGGTAATTTGTTATGCAACAATAGATAACTAATACATGGAAGTAACAAACAGTGTCAAGAGATTAGGTAGGTAAAGTGGCTAACCAGAGAATCAGCCCCAAGTGCATTGCCAAAAAAAGGTGTCAGAGCAGGGAATTGGGAATTCCAGCGTGCAGTCAGATCAAATAAAATAGAGATAAGGAGGCAAAAGCAAGAAACAGACAACTAGCCAGGCAAATGAGAAGCCATCTTTGTAAATTCTTACAAAATTCTTTGTAAAGAAAGAGGGGTCCCAGGCTGGGGTTGGATTTGTCCATGCTTCACCCTGAAAGGTTTACTTCCAATATCCATAACAAATAGGTAAGATGGTGTCTTAGTTTGGGTCACCCCAGAAGCACACTTTGAGATGAGGATTCAATTAAAAGTAGTTGATTTGGAGGTGATCCAAGAAAAACACCACTAGTGGAGAAGGGAAGTGTCATAGTCTGTTCAGTCAATGCCATAGTCTGTTCAGGCTGCTATAACAAATCACCATGACCTGGGTGGCTTATAAACAACAAACATATATTCTCCATAGTCCTGGAGGCTAGTCCAAGATAAAGGCACAGGCAACTTTGGTCTGGTGAGGGCCTCCTTTCTGGTTCCTAGATGGTGCCTTCTAGCTATCACTCACATGGCAGAAGGGGCTAGTAAGCCCTATGTGTTGTCTTTTACAAGTGCACTAATCCCATTCACATGGACTCCAGCCTCATGACCTAAGCACCTTCCAAAGGCCCTACCTCCTAATACCATTACATTGGCCATTGGCTTTTAACATATGAATTTGGGGGTAGGAGGGAAGGTGCACACAAACATTTGGCAAATAGCATCCAATAACGAATATATTAGCATGTGAGTTGTCACTGTGGGCAAGTGAACTTTAATGCCACAGGGGAACTGTGGGAGACAGGGTGGAACATGCATGTCAGAGTTATCCCTCCCAGGAACATCCCCACCAACTTCTGTCTGATATCGGTTGAAGGAGGGGGAGGCCATGAATTCCCAGTACCTGTTGTGTATAAAGACAGACACATGCTAGTCATGAGAAGTTAGCTTGTGTGTGTGGATGTATAAGTGTCAAGAGGATAAGAATGAGACACTGAGAGCCTCTGCTGCATATAAACCCCCTGAAGGAGACTAAAATTGCTTAGGCAGCAACTACATACAGTCTATCTAAATGAAATTGTTGAAATTTATTATCATGAAAACCTGTTGAAATGAAGATGGCCATTATGCTTTTTGAGAGATTTGAAAAATAGCATTTAAATTCGGATGAACTTGGTCTTGCTCTTGTATTAAACCTTGATCTGAGTCAGAGACCTTTAAAACGTTACTGGCTTCTCTGAGCCTTAGTTTTCTCACCTGTAAAATAGACACAGTAATTCCTACTACAGTTGGTAGTTATGAGATAATTCACTGAGGTTTGTTTTTTTTTTTTAAGTTTAAACCTGCAATGATAATTTAGTGATGGCAACTGTGCCTCAGCAAGGATTGCTTAAACGAAATTAGTAATACCGCATAAAGTCAGTATTTGCGTATGCTATAGACTGACTGTCCCCTCCCCCCGCCCCACCCCCCGCCTCAAGTTCATATGTTAAGTAAGTCCTAACATCCAGTGAGATGGTATTAGGAGGTGAGGCCTCTGGGAGTTGACTGGGTCGTAAGGGTGGAGCCCTTCAAAAAAAAAAAAAAAAAAAAAAGACCTCAGAGAGTTCTCTTGCCCCTTTCGCCTTGTGAGGACACGACGAGAAAACAATTGTTTATGAACCAGGAAACAGGTCTTCACAAGACACCAAATCTGCTGGCACCTTGACCTTGGACTTCCAAGCATCCAGAACTGTGAGAAAAAAGTTCCCATTGTTTCTAAGCCACGAGGTCTATGGCAGACTGTTGTAGTGGCCCAAATGGACTAACACGGTGTCCTTAGGATAAAAAGGCCAATAATGCCTATCAGTATTGAAATAGTTGGTCTATGAGACATTGTACAGGCAAGTATTTCTTACTACTTTCTTTCACATTCCAATGTTAAAGTAACACTAAAAACCTAATGTCGTTTTCAGGCATAGCCAATAAAAATGTGCTATTTCCTCAAACCTGCTTTTTCTATAAAGCTTTCTTTATTAAAGAAATAAACAATATAGAAAAGAAATAAACAATCAAAATGGTGAGGGGTGCCTGGGTGGCTCAGTCGGTTAAGCATCTGACTTTTGATTTCGGCTCAGGTCATGATCTCATGATCTCATGGTCGTGAACTTGAGGCCCATCTTTTGGCTCTGCACAGACAGTGCTGAGCCTGCTTGGGATTCTCTCTCTCTCTCTCTCTCTCTCTCTCTGTCCCTCCCCACTCAC